AGAGCTGTAGGCTCTGAGTGTTTCTTCAACTGCAGGCACTTTTATGGCCTAGGGCTTGATTTGTATTGCAGTCTGTTAAAACTCACTCTCTTTAGTTTATTTTCTTACATGGGAATAAACAAACCATTTAAATATTTATTGTGTGAAACTGATTCATGATATGTGTCATATAACATTACACAGCAGAAAAATATATTGTTTATATATTATATATTTATAAAACAATACAGTGTTGTTGTTATTATTATTATTATTATTATTATTAGGGGAACTAATTTACATTATGAAGTCTCTTTTGCTCACCAAGGCTGCATTTTTTTTTCATATAGTAAAAACATTAATATTGTGAAATATCATTATAACTTTAAAATAGCTGTTTTCTATGTGATTGTATTGTAAAATGTAATTTATTGCTGTGATCAAAGCTGAATTTTCAGCATCATTACTCCAGTCTTCAGTGTCACATGATCTTCAGAAATCATTCTAATATGCTGATTTGCTGCTCAAGAAACATTTCTGATTATTATCAATGCTGAAAACAGTTGTGCTGCCCAATATTTTTGTGGAAACCGTAATATATTTTACTTTTCATGATTCACAGATGAATATAAAGTTTAGAAGAACAGCATTTATTAGAAACATAAATCTTTTGTAACATTATACATGTCTTTACTGTCACTGAATAGTTCTTATTGAAAAAAAGTGTAACTGTGAATAAATGCAAAACCCCATTTAAAACTACTTTTCTTTCTACATTGATAAAAATGGTATCATAGGTATAGGGTTGGTGTAGGGCGATAGAAAATACAGTTTGTACAGTATAAAAACCATTACGCCTATGAAGTCCCCGTAAAATACCCACCAATACCAACATATATATGTGTGTGTGTGTGTGTGTTGTACTCACTGCTTGTGTGTAGGCATTATATGCATTAAAGTTGAGTGTCACCGGACTGAAGGTGTTGAGCTGCGAGGCCACCTGCTGCATGCGCCGCATACCGCGCTCCTTCTCTGTGTCTGCAAACTTCACCACCAGACTAGAGGAGGCACCCTGACCACAGACAGACAGAGATTACAGCCAACGGGAGAGGAGGAGAGACCGAGAGGATAGAGGAGGAGAAACCAAGAGGAGAGAAGAGGAGAGACCGAGAGGAGAGAGGAGAGACCGAGAGGAGAGCGGAGGAGAGACCGAGAGGAGAGAGGAGAGACCGAGAGGAGAGGGGGGAGACCGAGAGGAGAGAGGAGGAGAGACCGAGATGAGAGAGGCGGAGAGACCGAGAGGAGAGAGGAGGAGAGACCGAGATGAGAGAGGAGAGACCGAGATGAGAGAGGAGGAGATACCAAGAAGAGGAGAGACCGAGATGAGAGAGGAGAGACCGAGAGGAGAGAGGAGGAGAGACCGAGAGGAGAGAGGAGAGACCGAGAGGAGAGAAGAAGAGGAGAGACCGAGAGGAGAGGGGAGAGACCGAGAGGAGAGAGGAGGAGAGGCCGAGAGGAGAGAAGAGGAGAGACCGAGAGGAGAGAAGAGGAGAGACCGAGAGGAGAGAAGAGGAGAGACCGAGAGGAGAGAAGAGGAGAGACCGAGAGGAGAGAAGAGGAGAGACCGAGAGGAGAGAAGAGGAGAGACCGAGAGGAGAGAAGAGGAGAGACCGAGAGGAGAGAAGAGGAGAGACCGAGAGGAGAGAAGAGGAGAGACCGAGAGGAGAGAAGAGGAGAGACCGAGAGGAGAGAAGAGGAGAGACCGAGAGGAGAGAAGAGGAGAGACCGAGAGGAGAGAAGAGGAGAGACCGAGAGGAGAGAAGAGGAGAGACCGAGAGGAGAGAAGAGGAGAGACCGAGAGGAGAGAAGAGGAGAGACCGAGAGGAGAGGGGAGAGACCGAGAGGAGAGAGGAGGAGAGACCGAGAGGAGAGAGGAGAGACCGAGAGGAGAGAAGAGGAGAGAGGAGGAGAGACCAAAATGAGAGAGGAGAGACCGAGAGGAGAGAGGAGGAGAGACCGAGAGGAGAGAGGAGGAGAGACCGAGATGAGAGAGGAGAGACCGAGAGGAGAGAGGAGGAGAGGCCGAGAGGAGAGAGGAGAGACG